CACTATGAGGAATGACCAAAGAATCTACCCCAGAGACAGGCTGGCTGGTAACTCTGAAACCACAGCCTTCTTAGCCAGTCGTCCCAAACTAATACATTCTAGCTACTTCATGTACCTGATGCAACCAAGTGCTAGAACACCTTCATTCTAAGAATATGTCCATCCAATAAAAAGTCAGTGCCATTATAATTTCAGTTAATGTTTCACTCAAGCTTCAAAAAAATTGTGGTTTCTATTAAAAAACTGGAAAGGAATAAATATGCTTATGAATGCTCTCAGCATAGCTAATTCCAAATTCCTGAAAGAGATGAGAATAAGCTGATAAGGCATCCGTTAATCTTAAGTCATTCTCTGGAGTCTACTAAGATCCCCAAAGCTCTACTAACTGTAAACAGTGGAATCAGGATTTTTAGGATAGGAGATAATTTTCTAGGTGGTTCTTCTGAGAGAAGTTCCTCGATATATCTCAGAGCAGGAAAGCCTTGGGTTTGGAGTGTAATGGTCTTAGTTTTTCAAATAATCACAGATGTCCTTGAGTAAGTCATTTGCACATTCGGGGTCTCTGTTTTCTTGACTTGTAGAATGAGGCATTTGGGCCAAAGTCTCCACCAACTGTAAAACTGTATAATTCTCTAAGTAATAGTTTACCGAATTGCTGGCAAGACTGCCTCAATAATCAGAATGATCCAATTAACACTCTGCAACGTGGAATATTCTATTTGTGGTCTCAAAAATAGACTATTTTAGAGTGGAAAGAGTTCAGATCATGAAATCCAGTCACTTAGTTTTTTAAAAGAAATAAAGAATCCAAAATCCAAAACATTAAATAGTTCTGCTAAATTATAAGCTGATTTGGTGGTAGAAGCAAGACCAGACTGCCTGACTAGTCCTGTTTGCACTAAACCACATTGTTACTCAGTTGGCTTCAGACAGCTTTCTTCACTAGAAGCTGCCACGGCCCCCTCTATGATCCATAGTGTGGCTTTTATGCCTCCCATTAAATGCAGCCTACATCACAGCTGTGGGTTACTGGCCTCAGGGTTATTAGTTTTCCAGGCATCCAACCCAGGAGACATTTGAAGAATGACCTGAAGGTCTTCATGAAATGTGCCCAAGATAAAATACTTTAAAAAGTCCCGTGAGGTTCGTCCAAGACAGCAAATAGCTACACACCATCCATTTGTGTACCTATAAAGAGTACTTTATAGGTAGGAAGATCCTAGTGAACCCACATCTGATCCAATAGCATTAGAAACTAGGCTGCAGCCTCAATTGCATAAGCACTTTTTCACTCTGGCTTCAGGCCACTGTGACAGCAGGATGGCACCCTTGGCATATATATGGAGATTCCACAAGTAGGTACCCATGCCACCTGACACAGGTTCTGCCCTGGCAGCCACTCACACATACCCTGTACCTATTTCTGGCTGTGGAATGCCGGTGGCTGCTGGCGTATAACAAAGGCTACACTGGAAAACTGTCCCCACCACTTCCCCAGGTATGAAATCTTTGGAGAGACTGCTCTGAAAACCTTTTACGGACAACCTGGGAATTTCTGTGCAAGAGCAATGCTGCATGCCACCCAGTGTGCTGCAATTTGTTCCAACATGAGACAATTTGTTCCAAAGAGTACAACTGGCTGCTAGACATTAAACCCTATATTATGTTGGATCCAGCAACTGGGTTGAATCTCCCAGACATAATGATGTGTGAAAGAAGCCAGACACAAACGAGTATGTGCTGTATGATTCCATTTATATAAAATCAAAAATAAAATTAAAAGCAGGCAAAACAAATCTAAAATACTGATAAAAGTCTGAATGGTGGTTACTTCTTGAATGTGGGATATTGATTGGAAAGAGGTTCAAGGAGCCTCATAGGGTGCTAGAAATGTTCATTTTCTTGATCTAAGTAGCAACTACACAGATGTAAAAATACTTAAAAATTCATCAAGCTCTATACTTCAGATATGTGAGTGTTTTGCTTACATATGTTATACCTCAATAAAAAATTAATTGAAAATATTGCATGGGATCTCCTAATGTAAAGGAAGAATAAATTTCTTCCTCTCCTTTAGCATAAGGATATCTGAGATTCTTTGAATTGAATGTTTGCAAATAACATTCTTAGTAATAACAATAGCTAAATTAAATGCTTACATGTATGTACCAGGCCCTGTGCAGGGAGACATATGAATTATCTGCTTCAAGTCCTTGCAACAACTACATAAGGTAGGTATCATCCAAATCTCCATTTCACAGATGAGAAAATTAAGGGACAGGGAAGTAAAGTAACTTGTCCACAGTAAAACAGCAAATCAAATAGCAGAACTGAAAAGTCAAATTCAAACCCAAAGCAGTCTGACTCCAGAGACTTTGTTCTTAATTGATCTTAATGCTTCATCATATGCTGCAGGATCAGGGGATTTTTTAAAAGTTTGATAGTATTTGATTGGTTTTGTCCTTTCCCCAGTGCCTGAGAAGCATGTTCAGCATTAAGAAAAAAGAGAATTGGCCAGACGCAGTGGCTCACACCTATAATCCCAACACTTTGGGAGGCCAAGGAGAGCAGATTGCTTGAGCCCAGGAGTTTGAGGCCAACTTGGTCAACATGGCAAAATCTCATTTCTACAAAGTGCAGACAAAAAAAATTATCCAGGGATTGTGGTGCATGCCTAATGCCTATAGTCCCAGCTACTGGGGTGGGGGATGGGGCTGAGGCAGGAGGATCACGTAAGTGTGGGGGGAAGGTTGAGGCTGCACTGAGCTGTGATCATGCCACTGCACTCCAGCCTGGGTGACAGAACAAGACCCAATCAAAGAAAGAAAGAAAGAAAAAAGAAAAGAAAGGAAAGAAAAGGGAAAAAAAAGAGGAAAGAGAATCAGGATTTGGGTGGTGGATTAACAGTCTCTAGCTAATTAAATTCCTGAGATTCATTCAATAGATACAGCTAGTTTAGTCCAAGCACCTATTTTCTGTGCCTTTAAGAGTAGAGGAAAGTGGGTGCTATTATTGGCTTGTTATAGTCTCAAATTATTCCTTTCTCTTAAAAGAAATACACAGTGGGGGCAACACAGAGTGTTTTCATATGCTAGTCACTAGGGCTTTCTGGAACACCATGTCCTAGGATGAAATTTCCACAGCATGCCACACACTTTTCAGATCTGCTTTAGACCTTTTGAAAAGACTAAAGGGGCTTGTTTTCCCCTTTTCCCAGCTTTTATATTATTATGATTATATTAAATATAAAGTATCTGTGGAACCTGGAGAAGGCATTAACCACTCTTTAATTATAAAATGCATAGCTCGGTATTTTCCAGACACCCGCTTTTATCCTTTATGGCCCTCTCAATTAGTTCCTCTGAAGTTCTCATATGAAAACCTGTTGGATTACTGATTTCTGGATTAAAAGGGGCTATAAATTATAGCCCCTCTCAAAATCCATCAGGGGAAGGGGGAAGGCAGAAAGTGACTTAATGATGATTTAGCCCTTATTAGCAACCAGGCCCAAATGTTTGAGCTCTGCAATGCAAATATAGAATTATTCCCCAGCCCACCCCTGCTCCCCACAATGACTAGTAACGCACTCACTCACTTTCAAAGGAACTTGAAAAAATGATTGACTGTTGACATTTTCAGTAAGAAATTGGTCTCATCCCACTCCTGCCCCAATGAACAGTGTGGCTCCTGCCCACGAGGGTCTGGCATGTCGCAGCCCTGTCCTTCACCCCAGTCCCAGCTCTGGAATTAAGCCCATCAAGGGTAGGTCACTGAGCAGCAGCCTCAAGGATGGAGAGTGTGCAGTGTCTCCCCCTGAGCTGGGAGATAGAGGACTGAGCAACAGACTCCTCTACCTGCCCTCTATGCTCTAATCTCCATCCTGCATGAGCCACTGATGCTCTACAAGACTATAATCCTTCTCCCAGCCCACCCCCAGAACTCTGCCTAGCTCCAGTCAGCCCCAGAACTGGGTCCCACTCCCTCTGGTCACATCTTGGATCTACCCATGTTGGCAGACTGAATTTCTCAGAGCTGTTCCTTTTGAGTACTGTCTTTTGTACCCTGACTAGGTTTTACCTAAATCAAACCAGGAAGCACTGGCCTTTAGCTACACAGTTGAGGACAGCACAGCTGGCCTCAGTCACTGGGCCATCTCCCTCCACTCTATCATGTACCATGAGAAGGTGATCTTGCCCCAGCTCCTCACCTTCACTTGGGCCCTATAGGTGCCGAGGTCTGCCAGATCCACTCAGGCCCCACATCATCTTAAAGTCCACCCTGGTTTGCTCAACTGCCCCATAAATTCAGGCTTTACCAGGTTTGCATCAGGCAAAGTTGAAACTCTCTGTTTCACCAAGTTGTGAGTGATTTCAAAGATGGGTAATCTTAAATGCTATTATGGCATCAAGGTGAATTAAGGAGAGAAGGGAATCACAACTTTCAGTGTTTGGCTTGCACATGTCAGCCAAGCAAGGCCTTCTCTAGTTAGCCTTCCTAAAATGATTTAAACACATACACACACACACACACACACACACTCTCACAGACATATGCACACACAGGCATACACACTGCGTTCCTTTCTGAAAAGTAACCTTGAGGAAAAAAGCATGCAATATTGGTGCTGGTAAAAGAAATGAAGTAAAAGCTGAGGGCAAAGAAGTAACACATAAGCAGAAAACAGAACTTTTGGATAATTTTAGAACTCAATCATCAATGTGGTGATAGCTAAGATGAACAAATTTACCATATATTTCTGATGAAAATAAGAAAAAGTGACTCTTACGCAAATGCAGAAAAAGAACTGCACATTCTATAGGAAATTATATACAAACATAGGCAATTCAGATGTTCTGAGATCCTTCAAGGGTATCAAGGGTCTGTTGCACTAGTACTGCCAAGAGGAAAATATAATTACTTTGAAGGTCTTTTAGAGACACTCTTTCCTGACCACTGGCAAACAGCAAAGCCCAAGGTAGATCCTTGCCCAATGTTCTTACCTGGTCGTCATAGCGGTAAGTGAGGAACTGCTCCCCTGTTGTGTCTTCCAGAAAACTTCCCTGAGGAGAGAGTGCAAACTCGGGAAGGAAATAGGCTCCAGGAGATTTCTCAGCTGTGGTCTGAAAAACAAGATCATTTGGTCACAAGTAAGGCTCCAGTAAGAACCCCCTAACAAGTAAAGTACAAGAAGGCCATTCCAGGAGAATCCACCATTAAAAGCTATACCAAGAAACAAAAAGGGAAGTGCCCTCTCTTGGCAAAGACCAAGGTGAGGCACACCAAGTGTCTGCGTCGGGGCACTGTTAGGCCAGGATATCACAGTGGCCTGAATCAAATTGGCGGCCATGACATTTATTCCCTGACACCTGCCTCTCTCCCCCTCCCTGCTACCTCTGCTCCCCATCTTCCAGCAATTCAGTCACAGAGTAGTTAACTTTGTTTTGTTGTTGCAAATCTATCATTTTTAGAATTTTCTTCTTCCTTTCTTCCTTTTTCTCTTTTTTTTTTTTTGGCAAAGGAGTAAGAAACAAAAATTTTCTTCCATACTACAACAAAAATGCACCTCATTGTAGAAACTTTAGAACATATAAATGAGCACAGAAGAAAATAAAAATCACCCATAACCTTTTCAACCTGTAATAACCACTTTTAATTGTTTTGGCGTGTTTCCTTTGAGATGTTTTCCTCGTAATGCTTTGTTTAAAGATCCAAGCTTAAATAAACATGGATATTGTAGACTCTGTTTAGTTCATGGAAAGCTCATACTCCGGTCCGTTTTCACGCTGCTGATAACGACATACCCGAGACTTGGAAGAAAAACAGGTTTAATTGGACTTAAGAGTTCCACATGGCTGGGGAGGCCTCAGTATCATGGCAGGAGGTGAAAGGCACTTCTGACATGACAGCCACAAGAGAAAATAAGAGGGATGCAAAAGCAGAAACCCCTGATAAAACCATCAAATCTCATGAGACTTATTCACTATCATGAGAACAGTATGGGGAAACTGCCTCCATGATTCAAATTATCTCCCACCAGGTCCCTCCCACAACACGTGGGAATTATAGGAATACAATTCAAGATGAGATTTGAGTGGGGACACAGAGCCAAACCATATCATTCCACCCCTGGCCCCTCCAAATCTCATGTCCTCACATTTCAAAACCAATCATGCCTTCCCAACAGTCCCCCAAAGTCTTAACTAATTTCAGCATTAACCAAAAAGTCCACAGTCCAAACTCTCATTTGAGACAAGGCAAGTCACTTCTGCCTATGAGCCTGTAAAATCAAAAGCAAGCTAGTTACTTCCTAGATACAATGGCGGTATAGGTATTGGGTAAATACAGCCATCCCAAATAGGAGAAATTGGCCAAAACAAAGGGGTTACAGGGCACATGCAAGTCCAAAATCTAGTGGGGCAGTCAAATTTTAAAGCTCCAAAATGATCTCCTTTGACTCTACGTCTCATATCCAGGTCACACTGAGGCAAGAGGTGGGTTCTCATGGTCTTGGGCAGCTCCATCCCTGTGGCTTTTCAGGGTACAGCCTCCCTCCCAGCTGTTTTCATGGGCAGGCATTGAGTGTCTGTGGCTCCTCGAGGAACATGGTCCAAGCTGTCAGTGGATCTACCATTCTGGGGTCTGGAGGACAGCAGCCTTCTTCTCACAGCTCCACTAGGCAGTGTCCCAGTAGGAACTCTGTGTGGGGGTTCTGATCCCACATTTCCCTTCCGCACTGCTATGACATAGCTTCTTCATGGGGGCCCTGCCCCTGCAGCAAACTTTTGCCTGGGCATCCAGGTATTTCCATACATCCTCTGAAATCTGGGCAGGGGTTCCCAAACCTCAATTCTTGACTTCTGTTGCAGGCTCAACATCACATGGAAGATGCCAAGACTTGGGGCTTCCACCCTCTGAAGCCACAGCCCAAGCTCTGCATTGGCCCCTTTCAGCCACAGCTGGAGCAGCTGGGACACAGGGCACCAGGTCCCTAGGCTGCACACAGCACAGGGACCCAGGGCCCAGCCCACAAAACCACTTTTTCCTCCTGGGCCTCCAGGCCTGTGATGGGAGGGGCTGCCATGAAGGTCTCTGACATGCCCTGGAGACATTTTCCACATAGTTCTGGGGATTAACATCAGGCTCCTTGATACTTATGCAAATTTCTGCAGCCAGCTTGAATTTCTCCCCAGAAAATGGATCTTTCTTTTCTATTGCATAATCAGACTATAAATTTTCTGAATTTTTATGTTCTGTTTTCCTTTTTAAACTGAAAGCCTTCAACAGTATCCAAGTCACCTCTTGAATGCTTTGCTGCTTAGAAATTTCTTGCACTGGGTACCCTAAATCTTCTCTCTCAAGTTCAAAGTTCCACAAATCTCTAGGGCAGGAGCAAAATGCCACCAGTCTCTTTGCCAAAACATAACAAGAGTCACCTTTGCTCCAGTTCCCAACAAGTTCCTCATCTCCATCTGAGACCACCGCAGCCTGGACCTTTTTGTTCATAACATTATCAGCATTTTGGTCAAAGCCATTTAACAAGTCTCTGGGGAGTTCCAAACTTCACCACATTTTCCTGTCTTCTTCTGAGCCCTCCAAACTGTTCCAGCCTCTGCTTGTTACCCAGTTCCAAAGTTGCTTCCATATTTTCAGCAGCATCCCATTCTACTGGTGCCAATTTACTGTAGTAGTCCATTTTCATGCTGCTGATAACGACATACCCAAGACTGGGAAGATAAAGAGGTTTAATTGGGCTTGCATTTCCACATGGCTGGGGAGGCCTCAGAATCATGGCAGGAGGCAAAAGGCACTTCTTACATGACGGCGGCAAGAGAAAATGAAAGGGATGCAAAAGTGAAAACCACTGATAAAGCCATCAGATTTTGTAAGACTTATTCACTGCCACGAGAACAGTATGGGGGGAACCTCCCCCATGATTCAAATTATCTCCCACCGGGTCCCTCCCACAGCATGTGGGAATTATGGGAATACGATTCAAGATGAGATCTGGGTGGGGACACAGAACCAAACCATATTACCTGGCATCTGAATCACTGGACGTAAATCACAATGGTTGGAGTCTGAGGGAGTCAGAAAGGACATCCTCTTTGGGGGAATATGGCTTGAATATCATGACCCAATTGACTTGCTACCATCACACTATCATCCACCTCCTGGGAGAGCCTGTCCGAGGGAAGACTGAGGAGGTAGGGGGCTTACCAGGATCACTGCCTTGATTGCGTCAAAGAGGAAAGTAATAAAGGAGACAGAATCTGCAGTGCTTAGCCCCATCCAGTCAAAAATACATGGATCTGTGACTATACCCCCGACTGGATACCTCACTTCCCCTGCTTGGGAAGAAATGAGTCAGAAATAACGTAAGAGGCCACAGGTGTTACTCTAAGAAAATTGCTCTCTGCAAACAGGAGGAGCAGGGAATAAACACATTCCTCTGACACCTCTGCTGCTCCAATGGACTCATTCTCAAACTGCAGCAGGTACTATGGTTTATGCCAAAACATCCCTCTGAATACTGTGTTTTAGAAAGGTAAATCAACATCGTTCTGTCAAAGAACACAGAAGAGATAACTCCACTAGACTAGATGGTTTAGATGGCACTACGCTGTTAAAATAATTTGAAGATTTTCTTATTAAATTTCATTTATGTGAGAGATTTAGCACCACTATTGTTAATTGCACCTACTGGCTTCAATCATCATTTTATTTTTTTTTACTTTAATATTTTTCAGACAGAGTCTTGCTTTGTCACCCAGGCTGGAGTTGAGTGACGTGATTTCAGCTCACTGCAATCTCCGCCTCACAGATTCAAGAAATTCTCCTGCCTCAGCCTCTCTAATAGCTGGGGTTACAGATGCCCACCATCACACCTGGATAATTTTTGTATTTTTAGTAGAGACGGGGTTTTACCATGTTGGCCAGGCTGGTCTCGAACACCTGACCTCAGGTGATCTGCCCGCCTTGGCCTCCCAAAGTGCTAGGATTACAGGCATGAGTCACTGCGCCCAGCCAGAATCATCATTTTTAAATACCTAAAGAGACCTTAGAAGTCATCTAGGTCAAACTCCTTATTTTAACAATGAGTAAACTATAGAGTTAGGAGACTTACCAATTACCAAATCTGAGAGTGACTATTCCTGGCACACAAAAAGAGCAAGTGCAAAAGCCCTAAAATAGAAAGGCAGTCAGTGAGTTTGAGGAGCAGACCCAGGCTTACAGCCAGGGCTGGAACCTGTTAGCAGCCATGTGCAAATACCTGGACAGATCCATTTACCAGAGTGGGAGCAGTCAAAGATCACCACCTTAAAACAGCTTCCTGCATATAGTGGACCTTCCAGTGTGATGCTTATCTTTAGTTGACCATGCATTCAACACATATTTATTGAGCACCTAGTATATGCCTGGCACAGTTCTCAGTGCTATAGATACAATAAGGAACAACAAAGATCAGGTTCCTATTTTCATGGAGGTTACATCCTAGGGGAGGAGATACATAGTAAAATAAGTAAACAAATACATAAATAAGAAAATTAACATTCTAAGTTATAAAGGAAATAAAACAAGGTGATATGAGAATAATGTTGGGAGAGGACTGTTCAATTTTAGATAAGATTATCAAAAAAGGCATCCATGAGAAGATAAGATTTCAGATAAAACCTCAAACAGGAGGAGCCAGTTATGGAAAAAGCTAAGGATGAGTATTACTGGCAAAAGAAGAGCAAGTACCAAAGCTCCAAAGTGGAAAGGAAGTCAGTGAGTTGGAAGAACTAGAGTGTGGCTGGATTCAGTGTGGACAAGTAAGAGTGGCAAGAAATGGATAAAGGAAGGAAGACAAAAGCCACCCAAGACATTTAAAGCCTTATGGCAAGGAGATGGAGAATCACAGAAGAGTATTTAAATAACACTGACTGCTTTGTGGAGAATGGGCTAGAAGGAGGCAAAGTAGAAACACAAAGACTAGTTGGAAGGCTGTTGATACTAACCCAGGTGAGAAGGGATGGTTCATTGGACTGGGTTGATGGCAGTAGAGAAGGGGAGAGGTGCATGGATTAGAAGTAGAACCAACAAAGCTTGCTGATGAGGGAGGAAAAGGGAGGAATCAAGG